GGGATCTTGGAGCAAGTTTTTCATGACTATCCTCCATTTTTACAGCATCCATTTCTTCAAAGATGTTGGAGAAGTTGTTCATGTTCGGCTTATTGTAGACAACATAGGCAAGCATGTGGGCGATGGCTTTGTTGAGTTTGCTTCTGTGAACGAAGCAAAGAAGGTGAGAGTTGTTTTATAGTGATGATTAAAAAACGTATTTAAGTAGTCATTTTGAAAACTAGTGCATACTTACGATGAAAAATAGTTATTTTAAAGTACGATTGCTGATTATATCTTTTATGCTCTAGGCGCTGGAAAAGAAGAATGGTGAATATTTGCTCGATCATCAGATTTTTCTTGATGTGGCTAAGAAAGCTCCATACCCTCCACAACCCAAGTAAATTGATTTTACATGTTGTGGATATTTGTTTCTGTAACTGATCGCTAGAGTTTTGATTAACACTTGTGTTTTTGTTTATTAGGTATTGCATAGACCACAAGGTTTGGTAAGGGATTTAACTATTTGCATCTTGAGTTTGTTTTCAAGAGCACATTGGGTGAATTTTCTGGTATAAATGGAGGGATCACAAGGGTTTTTAATATTCCAGGTATGAAGACTACCTTCGACAAGAAAACCTTCTGATAGAAGAAGATGAGGCAGTGGAAGGACTTTACGAAATCCCCGATTTTGTTGAGGTACATGTTCTTATTATCTTCAAATTATGTCTAGAGATGACTTTTTTTCGGGGGATGAATATCTACTTTTTGTTGTTATGTAATTGAAATTCAGGAAGTTGCCGCAAGAGAAAAGACGATCTTCGTTGACTATATCCCTTACGAAACTAAAATACTAAATATGTGAGTAGTACCTTTAAATTTCCTCTTTCGCACTTGGAGCAAGTTTTTCGTGACTGATATTTTATCCTCCATTTTTACAAAGCGTTGAGTTCTTCAAAAGCGCTGGACAAGTTGTTCGACTTCGACTTATTGTAGACCACATGGGTGAGCGTGTGGGCTGTGGCTTTGTTGAATTTGCTTCTGCTAACGAAGCAAAGAAGGTGAGAGTAGTTTATAGCAATGACGAAAAGTATTTAAGTAGTTATTTGAAAGTATGATTGCTGATTAAATCGTTTATACTGTAGGCGCTGGAAAAGAAGAATGGTTTCGAGTTTTCTCTTGACGTGGTTGAGAGAGCTCCATACCCTCTCCGACCCAAGTAAATTGATTTTCCATATGGAGATTTGTTTCTCTGACTTATTTGCTATAGTTTTGATTTCATCAGAGAAGATTAACGCTATTATTTTTTGTTAATATAGGTACAGCCTTGCAGAGAAGCTTTGGTAAGTGATTTAAATTTATTTGCCTTTTTGAGTTTTGTTATGAAGAGCGCATTGGGTGAAGTTTTTGTTATACATGGAGAGATCACTAGGGTTTTTGATATTCCAGGTCGAAGGTAGAAAACCTTCGTCTGAT